AATGAGAAATGGCTATAGATATGTTTAAATTGAAGAAGTACGAATTTAAAAAGGGAGTATTTAATTATCGATATTAAAATTTTATTTAATTTCCAATGAAACAAGGAAACTCAGGTAAAATGTTTAATTTTGTCGATTTTTCACTTCAACGAAAACTGTGCTTTTTCGCGAGGAATGAGAAATGGCTATAGATATGTTTAAATTGAAGAAGTACGAATTTAAAAAGGGAGTATTTAATTATCGATATTAAAATTTTATTTAATTTCCAATGAAACAAGGAAACTCAGGTAAAATGTTTAATTTTGTCGATTTTTCACTTCAACGAAAACTGTGCTTTTTCGCGAGGAATGAGAAATGGCTATAGATATGTTTAAATTGAAGAAGTACGAATTTAAAAAGGGAGTATTTAATTATCGATATTAAAATTTTATTTAATTTCCAATGAAACAAGGAAACTCAGGTAAAATGTTTAATTTTGTCGATTTTTCACTTCAACGAAAACTGTGCTTTTTCGCGAGGAATGAGAAATGGCTATAGATATGTTTAAATTGAAGAAGTACGAATTTAAAAAGGGAGTATTTAATTATCGATATTAAAATTTTATTTAATTTCCAATGAAACAAGGAAACTCAGGTAAAATGTTTAATTTTGTCGATTTTTCACTTCAACGAAAACTGTGCTTTTTCGCGAGGAATGAGAAATGGCTATAGATATGTTTAAATTGAAGAAGTACGAATTTAAAAAGGGAGTATTTAATTATCGATATTAAAATTTTATTTAATTTCCAATGAAACAAGGAAACTCAGGTAAAATGTTTAATTTTGTCGATTTTTCACTTCAACGAAAACTGTGCTTTTTCGCGAGGAATGAGAAATGGCTATAGATATGTTTAAATTGAAGAAGTACGAATTTAAAAAGGGAGTATTTAATTATCGATATTAAAATTTTATTTAATTTCCAATGAAACAAGGAAACTCAGGTAAAATGTTTAATTTTGTCGATTTTTCACTTCAACGAAAACTGTGCTTTTTCGCGAGGAATGAGAAATGGCTATAGATATGTTTAAATTGAAGAAGTACGAATTTAAAAAGGGAGTATTTAATTATCGATATTAAAATTTTATTTAATTTCCAATGAAACAAGGAAACTCAGGTAAAATGTTTAATTTTGTCGATTTTTCACTTCAACGAAAACTGTGCTTTTTCGCGAGGAATGAGAAATGGCTATAGATATGTTTAAATTGAAGAAGTACGAATTTAAAAAGGGAGTATTTAATTATCGATATTAAAATTTTATTTAATTTCCAATGAAACAAGGAAACTCAGGTAAAATGTTTAATTTTGTCGATTTTTCACTTCAACGAAAACTGTGCTTTTTCGCGAGGAATGAGAAATGGCTATAGATATGTTTAAATTGAAGAAGTACGAATTTAAAAAGGGAGTATTTAATTATCGATATTAAAATTTTATTTAATTTCCAATGAAACAAGGAAACTCAGGTAAAATGTTTAATTTTGTCGATTTTTCACTTCAACGAAAACTGTGCTTTTTCGCGAGGAATGAGAAATGGCTATAGATATGTTTAAATTGAAGAAGTACGACGAGGCTCTGGGGCAGTCACAGTTCAGAGTTACCCTGAACTTTAAAGTACAGCAGTATCTGTATAGTCGCTGTTTGACACGAGCAAGATCGGGCTCAATTCCCTTGTAGCGTGTAACTAGACCCGCGCCAATAGAAAATAACATTAACACGCACCAATAGGGTGCGAGCATAATTAGCAAATTAGGTACCTGAAGCGTGTACCGATAGGGCACTCTCCACGGTCCGCGCACAGGAAAAGGGCGTATAAAAGGACGCCCGAAAAAGGACAAAATAGGTAGTCCGGGACAGCACACCAAAAGGAAACCCTGTACGCGAGTCAACTAGACATTTACCAGCGAGCTCTGTATCGACAAAATAAATCTTGTTCAACACATATTTCACGCTTACGATTGGTGTGTGGTTTGAGGAGCAACGAACCCACAATATAAAATTTATAGCAAGCATAGGTGGTAGGAGAGAAATGTAAACGGTTTCTCTAATTGTCCTAGTGAAATTGGAAGTGCGTGAAAACGACGCGTCCCGTATAAACCTAGCGTTAAATACCAATCGAACCGCTCAACAATATCCTCTTTGCTCGATTATGCATCGATATTACTCTAATTCGAAGACACCGGAGCGTTCTAAGAGCTCGATCGACGCGACGGAGTTAAAAGTGGAAAGAAACGGAGAGGAGATCGTGGTAATCGCGAAGGCCTCTTCACAAAGAGCGCCGCGATGCAGCGATTTTCCAGTCGGCCGGTTCCTCCTTTGTATTGACTTTCTCCGATCGGGACGCGACGGGATGAAACCGTAGGAGAGCGTTCGATTCCGCTCGACTCCGCGCCGGCCATTATTACAGGCTTTTGGGTCCAATAACTCTTCGACTCTCACTTGTTGCTGCGGCGGCGTCGCGATGCCTCTTCTCTTTTTTCCCGTTCTCTCCCTTTTGCTGCTCTGCTTTTCGCGATTTTTCATCGTCGAACGAGCTGCAAGAGAGACGCCTCGCTAGAGTGAGAATCGATTCGCGTGGAACCGGAAGCTCGGACGGGACCTAGCAACAAGGGTCCCTCTAATTTCGTCGTCTCTTGCCGCGCGGAAATGGAAGTTTACGAGTTCGTTCGTTTCGCCAAGTTGCACAACCATCGCGACTGTAATAACAACGTTGTAATCTTACGATCTTCTTCTTTTTCTTCTTGTACCTGCTGCTTCCTCTTCCGGTTTTGCCGAGGAGGAATGTGACGGTTTTCTTGGTAGCTGATGCACGTTACTGTTTAGTGTTTGCTTGGTTTATTTGTTCATAGTGTTCTTTGTTTTCAGAAGCAGTTTCGAGTTGATTTGTCAATACTTTGTTCTTAATTGTGTTTTTATGCTTGCGTTAAGTATGAAATATATTATATTGATTTTTGCAAAAAGGTAGTGAAGAAACTTATTTTTACTCAATTTTAAATGCAAAAAAGTGTTTCGTTTATGTACCGACGTTGTTTTGTTTGATTTTAAATATTCATAAAAGTTGGCTCTACTGGAGCACAGTGAATTATTAAATTCAGAGTTCAGGGACTTTTGTTGGATACTGTATTTTAATTGAACCTCGATTAAGGATTGCAAGATACAAGTGAAGTATTTGTATGTAAATTGCAATTCGTTTAGAACATAGAAAACATAGAGTATTTGAATTAATAACCAGTGAGAATAGGGCGGTAGTATTCCCAGCATGCTCTGTAATTCACGTTTGACTTAACCTAACGTAGTTGTCACAAGTTTGACCAGAATGTCCGTGCAAATAAATTAATTGCATTCCAAGCACGTGACGCAGCTACATTCCATTAAACTCCAGATTTAATCTTCCCAAATCCCCTCCATTCAACTCGCCAAACACCAAGTCTTGAACCGTTCAATTCACTCATCTGCAAAAATTCCTGTGGTACAACGTCGAACCCGTATATTTTCTCCGACCGACAGACAGTCCCCGTCACTCCAACCGTCTCCTCTGAAGCAAAAACAGAAACAAAGCCTCGAATATTTCGCGGTGCACAATTTGGCAAAAATATCGCGATGTAAACGCGGCCACGTGATTTCCCCCTTGAAATATTTAACGAAGGGCGGTTCGCCGAGGAATTAATTTTTCAAAAGAGTCGGTTCAAGCGGTTGTTTCATCTCCGTGAAAATTCTATGGAAATTTCACGATCCCCCGGTTTTCTCGATATCGCGATATCGTCGGTGCAAATCGGATTTCGTCAAATTCCACTAGAATTTTTACGAGTGTACGGTGTTTTTCATTGCATGAACGATGAACGAAACAGAGGAGTGTTTCACCGAGTGAACAGTGAACGACACAGAGGAGTGTTTCACCGCGTGAACGATGAACGAAACAGAGAAGTGTTCCACGGTGAACCATGAACAGAAGGGAAGAACCACACGGAAGGGAAAAGACACTGCTAAGCGGAGGTATACACAGTGGATGATGAAGCGAATCAAGTAACAGCGGTGGTAACTTACGTGCGATGCAGCCCTAAAGCAGTCGACTCCATGGAGGCGAGTTTCCTGGAAACGCGTTAGCAACGAAACGTCTGTGCTTCGAATTTTCAAGCACGCTGAATTACAACCCTGTCACGGAATCAATGGCAACTGAAATACGTAAGCTGACGACGACGCGTTTCCTGCAACTTTGCTCCTCCCTTGCGGGGATTTTATAGAAGGAACAGATCCCGAAATTTCCTATAAAAATGCTAATATTCCACGCTCGTGGATTGAAACTTATTTGCGCAATAGGATATTTCCGATTTCGTTCGATTCATAATTGAATCGATAAGGAGAAACCTTCTTGCGCTTCCAATGACTGAGAATGTTCAACGGAACAGTGTCGTTTCATTCTAAAAGGATAATCCCAAAGAAACACCATAATATTCCCCCAATATTATAAGTAAACTTTCTTCTTCTTCAACGACTGCAGAAAAATTTACTCCACCCTCAATATCAAACAACACTCCTACTACAATCTTCCAAGTGACCGAATAAAAGAAGGAACGAATGAAACAAGACAAAACCCTCTTACATCATAACTGTCAATTTATTAACTAAACAACAAAAGCTTATCGTCGCGATCGAACAAATATCGATGTCTCGTTACGTACACATATGCATAAAAAGAAATCCTCGTCGCGAGAAATATCATAATCGCGTACAAATGCCTCTGTCAACCAATTGATACGATGATCGACGTTCAAATAAAAACACCGTGTATACAAACACGTTTACTCCATAATACTTCTTCGCGAATCACAGTCATCGTATCAACGTTCACAACGATATCTCTAGTCGTATGCACCTTACTCCTAGTTCGCTACCTTGGATAGCTAAGTTAGAACCATCTCCACCATGCAGCAGGTACCGTTTCCAGCACCTCCGTAGTTGTCCAGTCGGGTGTGTCGGTTGTAGGCAGAGTTGTCCAGTCGGGTGTGTCGGTTGTAGGCAGAGTTGTCCAGTCGGGTGTGTCGGTTGTAGGCAGAGTTGTCCAGTCGGGTGTGTCGGTTGTAGGCAGAGTTGTCCAGTCGGGTGTGTCGGTTGTAGGCAGAGTTGTCCAGTCGGGTGTGTCGGTTGTAGGCAGAGTTGTCCAGTCGGGTGTGTTGGTTGTAGGCAGGGTTGTCCAGTCGGGTGTGTTGGTTATAGACTCAGTTGTCCAGCTTGTCGTGCCGGTAGGTGGTACGGTGGGTTTTGGCGTGCTTGTAGTTGTCGAAGACGGTCCTTCAGTGACTGTAGGATTTGACGTTGTAGTCGATGGGTGTCGTTGGGGTGCAGCAAAGACGACAACCCTCAACGCGATAGCCCAGCTTGGTCTTCCCCATGCACCTACAGCGATCGACGGTGTTCCAACGAATCCTTTCAGAGGCTTGACGACCACCACCTTCGGGTTCAGCGCTGTTACGCTGACGAACGAGATCACGTAACCGGGTGGAGCGTCTACGCTCACTGTGACGGTTTGCCCAACGCCGATAACTCTTGGCTGGAAAAACGTTCGTTGCGAAAATGGTGAAAGGTGGATAATTGGATCTGTTGGAAAGTCCGACGTTTAGCCTGCTTTTTAACAGTCTTTCGTTTTCTCCAATGGTCCGACAGAGTGGAAGTAGCGTACTACTGTCGCGACAGAAAATTTGTCTTTTTTCGAAATGAGATTTTGAACGCTGGAGCAGTGCACAGGTGGTAGTTCGCAGAGTTCCAAACTGAGGGGTTCAGGCCTCGAGTATGTACTCCAAGGAAGATTTCAAAGGGAATAGATAAATTAGCAGAAAAACGAAGCGTGGTAATTAAGAATAACGGAGATTGAAGACGAATGTGTACATATTGCAATACAAGTGATACAGTAGCTGAATCTTCACGAATCGATCGCTGGCTGTGTCAGAATCGTTCCAAAGAAAATTCTACAACCGTTCAACTATCACCACGTAGATTTCTCACCTTGAAGATGGGTTTGTCCTCGATAAGAATGTCACCGAGTACACGGCGACCGAGGAACAGGTTGTTACCCCATGCGCAAGCGACGAGGCAGAGGCAGGCGAGCACGAAAATGAGACCACGCATCTTGGCGAATATTCAATGCAACTAGTCTAATTGGCGTCACGAATCTGACGAGCACCCGGCCACAATTATCATTTATACCCTCGCCTTATCAATTAGTCACAGACAATTCCCCGGATATTGATCGACTGTATCGAACTTGTAGATAACTATCATCGAATCGAGATAACAATTTACGTAACGACATTTGCTTCGTGCCTTTTTTCTTTCTCTCTATTCTCTGAATTACACGAAGGTGACACTATCGACACCTTCGCTATCGCATAGGTATTATGCAAATCGTTGTTTTTTGAGCATTAGCTTCAAACGGTCGATCAACTGTTGTATTCTTCAGCGCTGGCTAAACGTAAGTTGGAAACGAAATTAGATACGTGGAGGCCTCGGATGATAATTTGAAAAATTCAGACTATGAAAGTCGCAAAACACTCGCTACTTTTTAAATCTAGGCTTAACTATACCTATCTCTTAGATTCTATCACAGGCGAACGATTATATTGTATTTTAATTTAGAAAAAGAGGATTAATTTTTTTCCCGTACGGTTTTTCTCTTGTTAAATTAACGGTGAAATTCTTTTTTTCTTTCATTTCTGATATTAGCAGTCTCGAGTTTATCTTTGTCCATCGTTTAACCGCCTCAGCCGAAATTTCTGCGCTTGGAGTTGTCTGAAGGGTTGAGAAATGATTCGCAAGGCAGCGATTAGTTCCAGATAATTTTGAAATTATCGTGGGAATCGTGACCTGTGACCCTTATCTCGAAAGATCAGACTGATGCTTCGTCTTTCTGGTATTGTTCATTGTGAACTTGTCGGGGGTCTGATAAATCTCGATTAAAAATCACCTCTGGATCGCGATTTCGAACGCTGCGGACCTCTTTCTCTCGTATCGTGGTTTAAGAATATCGAAGAACGCGATAATGCGGTCGGAAACTAACTTTCGACATCACGTACCGCGTTTCACTCGGTGGAATATTTCACGAGAACGAAGAAACTGATGATCATGTTGATCGTTGCTCGTTGTGATAATTGACTATCAAATTTTTGCAGATTCTGCAAAATTTATTCTTCGAAAAAAGTGATTCACCAATTATTTATACGTCATATTTTCTTCGATACACTTTAGGTAGACGTTATGGTAACTGTGTCACTCGTATTTCAGCGACACAATTCTCAAGTGTACACAAGACAGCTTTTCTCTACCCTCAGCTCTTTGTTTGCTTCGAAATTTTTATGTTATCTGATCGATATCGAACATCGATTAAATCAAAATTCAAATTTTCCCCGCGAATATGCTCGAGAACGGGAGAAACATTTCCATTGACACATATTATTATACGCAATTACTCCACAATTGTGTATTCCCTGTCCCCGAAATTAGTCGGCCAGTTGCAGCGTTGAATGGAGAAAAATGGAAAAAAATGAAATAAAAGGGAATATTTGATGGGTGAAAATCTGGTTCCGCGAACGCTTCGTTAGCGGAGTGACAACGAGATTTTTCGGTTTGTTGGCCGCGAATGGAACAGAGTGAACCGGTGATTGATAATTCCTAAACGATACCTAACCAGCGACGAATTCGCGGTTGTCGAACGGCGGATCGATCGAATCGTGAAATACGCCGTTTCGTTAATTTCGTTCCAACGACGTCGCTCTTTAAGGATTCAGCCCCTAATCCTCCGTTTAGAATTTGTATTCACGAGACCCGCCGCGGCAAACAGCCGGCGATCGGTCGCGTTTCGCTGATCTTTTTACCGGTTATCCAATTTAAGGCTAGCTCCCCTAACTAAGCAGGATAATTCACGCGAAACGTGCGGTGGAAATTCTCGGGGTGATGATTGTACCAAATTCGAATTATCATCTGTGAAACTTTTGCGATATTCGTTTGAGGGTATATAGGTCGCTGTAGATTTCACAGTACCTCCTAAAGTGGCGCAAAACGCGCTAAGAAAATGGTAATCTCATCTAATACTAGTTCAAGGCGTACACAGTGGCTTTGGTGTAATTGATAAAGCGTTATCTCCACGAGAACGATAGGTTGTTTCGCGATAAATGATCGTTTGCAATCTGTATAGGATTTACCTGAAACTCGAAAAATGCTGCTGGAGCAACTTTCGCGTTTCCGACCGCGACACGCTGCGTAAATATTCTACTAAATATATCTATTTTATTTTAACCAACACTTGAACTAATTTTTACATGTAAGTGAAAGGACGCGTGCGGATTGCAAGTCTGTGACAAAAAGCCTCGTGCCTTTTTCGGGGTTCCCTTAAATACCCCCTTTTGCCCTGGGAAAAGTCCCAGGAAATGGGAGCGTGGGCCCATATTGCTAAAACATTTCTCTTGCCCGAATCTTCGCCTCGAGGTCCAAGAGCTGCCATTCCTATTTAAATCGGTATTTACGCAGGCCTTCCGTGGCGGTCGCCACAAATTCTAACAAATAAATAAATAAAAATTAAACAATCAAATTCTGAACCTGTTCCAAGTGCCTTATCGCGTGAAAAGGGTTCTCCTTCAGTTTGCAAACCGCTCGTCAACGAGAACAGAGCAAGACTAATGGTCCGCGCGGCGTCCACCGAGTGTGAAAAAATTCTTCAGCCAAAAATTCTCGCGTACGAGGAAAAAGAGGGAGAGGGTTGGTATAGGAAGCGTCGAAAAAGCGAGAAAAATAGCGAAAACCAGTTGTTCCGTTCGCGTAAATCTTCGTACGCGGGGACATTAAGATCGGTGACGTTTTTGGGCAGGGTGGAAAGTACTGTAAACGCGCGGGACCGATGTTGCAGCTCGTGCACGCATCGCGCGTTATTACGCGCGGCGTACACACGGGGCTCAAAGCGGTCGCTTGCATAAATCTCCGGAGGAATTAAAGTGCACCGCCCGCTCGCTCGCTCGCTGTGCAGGACGGAATTGTGCAACCCGTATGAAAGAAAAATAATTTGTGTAGACCGGGAGTCGGCTGGTACACGTTATTTTCCACCCGTTTCTTCTTTCTCTGCTAATCGTTTTTCCTGCTTGCCGTCCCGCTCCACATTTTTTGTCAATTTTTCACTTCAACGAAAACTGTGCTTTCTCGCGAGGAATGAGAAATGGCTATAGATATGTTTAAATTGAAGAAGTACGAATTTAAAAAGGGAGTATTTAATTATCGATATTAAAATTTTATTTAATTTCCAATGAAACAAAGAAACTCAGGTAAAATGTTTATTTTTTGTCAATTTTTCACTTCAACGAAAACTGTGCTTTCTCGCGAGGAATGAGAAATGGCTATAGATATGTTTAAATTGAAGAAGTACGAATTTAAAAAGGGAGTATTTAATTATCGATATTAAAATTTTATTTAATTTCCAATGAAACAAAGAAACTCAGGTAAAATGTTTATTTTTTGTCAATTTTTCACTTCAACGAAAACTGTGCTTTCTCGCGAGGAATGAGAAATGGCTATAGATATGTTTAAATTGAAGAAGTACGAATTTAAAAAGGGAGTATTTAATTATCGATATTAAAATTTTATTTAATTTCCAATGAAACAAAGAAACTCAGGTAAAATGTTTATTTTTTGTCAATTTTTCACTTCAACGAAAACTGTGCTTTCTCGCGAGGAATGAGAAATGGCTATAGATATGTTTAAATTGAAGAAGTACGAATTTAAAAAGGGAGTATTTAATTATCGATATTAAAATTTTATTTAATTTCCAATGAAACAAAGAAACTCAGGTAAAATGTTTATTTTTTGTCAATTTTTCACTTCAACGAAAACTGTGCTTTCTCGCGAGGAATGAGAAATGGCTATAGATATGTTTAAATTGAAGAAGTACGAATTTAAAAAGGGAGTATTTAATTATCGATATTAAAATTTTATTTAATTTCCAATGAAACAAAGAAACTCAGGTAAAATGTTTATTTTTTGTCAATTTTTCACTTCAACGAAAACTGTGCTTTCTCGCGAGGAATGAGAAATGACCGTGACAAACATCTGGCCGACCTGTGCGTCGAACGGAGGATAACGATACTTTGGATCTCGCGAGGACAAAATCAAGCGAGAAGATTTGGTTTTTCTCTCCATATTTTCTATCGACATTCTCACATTTCTTCTCCTCCTCGGTTTGCTTAATCGAAGCTTCATCATTTCACGAGGAATGAGAAGTAGCTACGTTAGATCGAAGAAGTTCGAATTAAAAAAGAGAGTATTTAGTTATCGATATTAAAATTTTATTTAACTTCCAGTGAAACAAGGAAACTCAGGTAAAATGTTTAATTTTGTCGATTTTTCACTTCAACGAAAACTGTGCTTTTTCGCGAGGAATGAGAAATGGCTATAGATATGTTTAAATTGAAGAAGTACGAATTTAAAAAGGGAGTATTTAATTATCGATATTAAAATTTTATTTAACTTCCAGTGAAACAAAGAAACTCAGGTAAAATGTTTATTTTTTGTCAATTTTTCACTTGAACAAGAGCTGTGCTTTCTCACGAGGAATGAGAAATAGCTACGTGTTTAAACTGAAGAAGTACGAATAAAAAAAGGGAGTATTTAAGTATCGATATTAAAATTTTATTTAATTTCCAACGAAACGAGGAAACTCGGTGAAACAGTTTCACTCTTACAAAGTATCGACGCAGGCTATAGCGGTGCAAGAAGCTTCTGAAAATCAGATATCTCGCCTATAACTTGATAAAGCAAATTCGTACAAGACAATCAGTTTAGTTGTTTCACACATCCGGCTTATATCGATCGACGTTCGTTAACTACGATCAGATAGATCTTCACAAGCTCTCGATATTTACGACGATGACAGAGGGGGAAAAAAAGAAAGGAAATCGTTCTGGCAATTTCGTCGGAGATTCGACGACGCGGTGCGGCATCGAGAAGGTTCTTTAACGAGGAATGCGACTTCGAACGACTACGGATGACGAAGGGACCGGGAGCATTTGCATAAAAGCCCCCGTCAACTTCGTCAACCCCCGTCAAGATCGTCAGACGCGTTAGGGTGACGCGGCAGACTTCTCAAACTCTTCCTTCTGTGACGCTGAAACCGGCGGTAT